ATACTTTTAGAAGCTAACGAAAATCGCATGGCCAGATGGAACATTGAACATCACGCTAAGCAGTGATTGACTGACAGAAATGGCTTACCATAGCCTAGGAAGAATTTCAAATGACAAGCAAGCAAGTGTGTACAACTTTGTACAATGAAACGATCCCAAAACTTTTTAAAACTATTTAATATAATAAATTGGTTAGCATAGTGATAATAAAAATCTGACCAAACAGGCAACCTTTTGACCCCATAGGGAGTTAAGGCAAAGAGAAGTAAAAGAAGAGGGAAGTGGATAAAAGAAATGCGAAATGTGGAACACGGACCACGGACTTGTCGAGAACTGCCTGATGTTCATTTCAAGCAATTTTATTCCTAATAATCCATCATACCTAAACAGGCTAGGTAGGAAGAGTGTTTCAGGAGAGTAGATGGTATTCTCGTTAAAAGCAGACCTTGATAGTAAAAAAATCGGTTAAATCTGCAGTGCTATGTTAAGTTGAATGCAGGTTCAGCCAACGTGATTGTAGCACGTAGGGAAGTAGTGGCTTTTCATGACTGTCTGTGTGCCTCTTGGCCGGCCTGTTTGTTTGTCAGTTCATACCTGTGCTGACTCACCATAAACTTGCCTTTAGCCTCATCTGTCTGTACAGAAATTGAAATGCAGGTGACCAAATTCAAGGCTCCTTGAACTGCAGGTGAATACCACTGGGAAAGTGTAATTGATCAAGCTTATTTCACAGTGTCCTAATGAAACAACACCGAGGGTTAGTAGGATGGCTTCTAAAAAGAAACAGTTCGACTGTTTCGGACAGAGAATTTTGGTTTCATTTCGCAGAAGAGGAATCTATACCTCGACTTCTACATAGGCGCATACATATATGAGTGAAATTTCGGCTCGCGAACACTGGTTGTTACAGAAGCACTGCTCGTAAATAACAAAGAATGATACCATATATTACATTGCAACGTAACGCAATACTACACGACGAATACATTGTGTACAACACACTAACAAACCTATGAATTTGTGACTGGTGATCTATCCTGCCATTGTGCAATGGCTCTAACTCGGTTTGCGCCTAGCACTGTGAAGTTGCACTAGAATGCTCCATTCACGAGTACCGTATCTGGACACCTGAAGTTGTAGGTGAATTTGGAATAAGCGTCGCGAAACTTCTGTGA